CTAACTAGATCTTCTAATTCATGCAATAAAATAAATCCTAATGCTAGTAAATCTCCGAATATCTTCTACTACTAATAAATAAAAGCAACATGGAAATAAAATATCTAGTAGAATCCTAATAAACTAGAAGGTCTTGATCTTGCTTGGCTTGCACTCTAAATCCTTGCCTTGCACTCCAAGTATTTCGCCCAACTTCACACGCCTTCCATATTCATTCGGCCGCCTTCCATGTGTCGCGCGTGTTCGCTCCTTCCTAGTCCTCGGTGCGCGAGGCATCGCACGCCTCGTCCATCTCGCACGCGTGCATGTCCTCTCGCCTCGAGGCTTAAGGCCTCGCGCCCTGCGTGCGCCATTCCTATTCCTTGTAGGATTGTGCTTCGAGCCCATATCCACTATTCCTATTCCTACTAGGAATATGCTCCCGGCTACGTTTCCTGATCTTCCGAGGAATACTCCCGTCACTAATATTTTCCGCGCGTTCCAACGGTCAACTGCTTTTTCTAGTCCTGTGGGGTTCAGTATTCGCGCCTTGCCTATTCCTACTAGGATTAGGCTTGCCAGCTTATTTTTGCATTGTGCCTCGTGCGCGTCGTCGTGCGCCCCGCACTCGTCGCCTAGCACTCCTATGCCTACGCGGTCTAGGACATCACCCGCGTTGCCCCACGTGTCGCAGTCCATCGCCCGCGCGTCTCCGTGCATGCTACGCATGCCCAGCGTCCTGCGTACTGCACCTCGCTCGTTTATCGCGCGCCTATGCACGCTTAGCACCGCCCGTGCGTCGTCCAGCGCCCGATACGCGCCCGTCCATCCGTAGCAATCTCTCGCGCGCATCAACCACCCAACATCCACCCCTTGCGCGCCACTTAGCCAAACCATCAAGCGCCATGCGCGTCTACGCCAATGCGCGTGTGCGCGCCCTTCTTGAATGCGCCCTTTCTTGTGTACTTGTGCGCCTCGCATACGAGCTCGTACCCGTCTCTTAGGCCATGCGTGCGTCGTTTTGGCCCTATTTTCAGCTTCCTCGGGTTGTCTCGGCTCTTGGCCCTTCTTGTGGTCGGGGCTCGGAACCCACTTCCGCATCATTCTCGCCCCCTTTGAGAATGTCCTTGTCCTCAAGGACTCATCCTCGACCATCCAAACATCGGGCACCTCTTCGATCTCGACCTCGATCGAGACTTCACTCTCGACGTCGACCTTCTCTTTATACGTACCGTCCTCGTGCTCCACGTCACCATGGACCTCCTCAACCACGACCAAGATCTTCACTTCAACCTCGGTTACCTCGATCTCGGCTACCACATACTCGGCGTCCTTCTCTTCAACATAGCCCGGCGAATCGATCGTACACATGGACTCCTTGCAATTCTCTTCGATCACTTCGTCCTCCACGCACGTCTCCTCGCATGATTCCCAGAGCTTCTCTTTAGCCTCCGCTTGTTGCCTCTCCTCAAAATTCTTTCGCTCGTGA